AGTACAGTATTTTCTTAATCAGTTAGGTTAATTTTTTTCAAATAAAATCTTCATTCAAGCTCAAGTATATGAATCTTGGTTATTCATATCAAAACATAAAAATTATATTTCTAACATCAAACCAAGCATTTCGAAAAATTATATTTGACAAAGCATACTAACATCTGCCAAAAAGAATGAATAAACAAAGAATTAAGGATAGCAAACTATAGAAATTTAACAGTTTTCAAACTAGTTAAATCTACTTTTATTTTATTTTTTTAATCACTTCATAAAATCAAAGATATTAATAATTGAACTTTTGGATTCAAAATTCAAATTAACAAGAGAGCATTAGGACCACACAGAAAAATAATTAGTAAGAGATTGTGTTTTCATAAAGCTTTAGAATAAATGATATAGTCAATTGCATTATCAGGAATTAAATTAATTTATTAAAATTAAATTAAGCACCATTTATATCGAGAAATGTTTGCTCTGAAATATTTGTTTCATGTTTTTCCACACATTCCTGTGGAATGCACCAGTCTGTTGGGTATAATACATATTCAGCATCAGTCAAAATGAATCATACACATGAAGACCTTGTGGTGGTAGAACACCTTAAATAAATAGAGGAAAACAGAAAAAAATTATAGTTTGGAAGCAATATGAAATGAAATGAATTAAATGTAATGAAAATATTTTTTATTATTCTGGAACTGTTGTCCCTTTAGGATAAATTATAAATAGAAAGTATTAAAAAAATAAAATAAAATACAAAATAAAAACATACATATGAGTGCCTTCATATCAAAGATGGACATCTGTCATTTTTAAAAAGTCGAGAAAAAATCAATTTTTCTAACACAGATTCAATTATAATGACTTTGTTTCTTAATTCAACTTGAAATTTCTTAAATGAAATCATCAGGAACAGTTTTAGTAGAACTTATAAAACAAAAATTGACTTTTTCTCTGTTTTCTGAAAATGACTGATGTCCGTCTTTGATATGAGGCCACTCATATATATAAAATAAACATAGGAAACTAAAATAACATAAGTAAACAAAAATAGTCTCTTGGGCGCATTTCATGATCAGTTTGATTGTGTAAGGAGTAGTTTCTTAAAGAAGACAGAAGAAGAAAGAAAGAAAAAATAATTTTGTTCTGAGACTAAAGTCCCTAAGAATAATAATAACATGGTACAAAACATAAAGAGGAGAGATTTGAAAGAGGAAATTGATTGTATGTGTCGAATATCAGAGGGACAGAGCTTCTATTACAAAGGATTTGTCAAACGTAGCAGTTCGGTATACATACTGTAACCAACAAATGGTTAAATTTAATAAGAGGAGCGAGGTGGAAAAGCTACTCCATCCTGGAAAACCATGGTGACTGAGAACGTTAAGGTGTCATAACCTTAACAACCTTGAGTCTGGTGCCGGTTCAAGTCTTGTATAGACAGGTTGAAATTTATTTCATAGCAGATGATTCTTGACCTTTCCACACTGCTTATAATAGATTGTTTATACTTGTAAAATGACTCTAGTTATAATCGACCCTCTATATGGCCAGAAACAAATAGAAAAACAACTACAACAAAATTTTCCTCATTTAAAAACATTTATAATAAAACAACAATGGGTATAACATTAATTAACAGCAATAGATTAATTGTTGTTACTTCAACATTTTTAAAGAAACTAACCACAAAATTATGATTAATTCCACCACTTTTAAATTGGACCTCCCCTTTTTAAAATATTATCATCCTTCTGGCTAACCCAACCCCTTGATGTATATTTTAGTTTAAATTAATCATCATTGTCTGTTTTTTATAATTATTTCTTGGTTATAGTATAAAACATTAATACTGTGATATAAACCAACGTGTATAATGACTTATAACTGTATTGGATAGTAAAAAAAAATATAACCAATAACTTATTTATTCCAGAAATAACAATGGTAAAATAATAATGGGTAAAAATTATATATATCATTTTCAATTTTAAGCTAGAGGCGTTTATACTTTTCAGAAAAAAAAAAACCTTTTAATTTCAACTTTTATAGTTCATAATATGGGAGATCTAAGGAATCATGGCAATAAGTAGCAATTTTTAATACTATTCTCATATTCTTTGGTAAGCAGTTGAAGTTTTAAAAAATAAGTACTAGCTAGTAAAAACCTACTAATAGTGCTGATAACACCAATTAGGTCTCATCCTTGAAAAAAACCTATAGAATAGATAATGTTATCATTTACCATACTTTCTGTCAGCATGGTAGAGCACAAGCTATACAACATCTGAATGTAGTAAGTTTTTTTTTAGTAATTTGTTTATTTTATTAGGAGTACCCCATTAATTTTTACATTTATTGTAATCAGAATCCATAACTGCATGTTTAGTATCATATATTTAAAATATATTTTAAAAAACAACACTTTTTTAAATTATGGCACAAAACAAAATCCTGCCTTTATGGATTTCTAGTAACTATTGTACCTTTATCAGCTTGTAGTTAGAAAGTGTTATTTACAAATCAATTTTTTTGTTATCAATTTAATGTACGGTCTAAATTAGAATGAAAGAGTAAGTAAAGACAGGATGAGTTGTCTAATTTCTTCATCACATCCACTAATTATGTTTTTTTTCATTGGTTATGTATATATAAATCGACCAAGAATAAAAATATCATACATGAAATAAGTGTTTCTAAATATATTTAATTCTGAATTTCTTATTTTCATTTTCAAATATTTAAAATTTATGTTCATTTAAAATTGAACGCATGTTTATTAAGTCAATTCTATAAACATATTTTAAGAAATAACAAATAAAATGTTAATATCTCATTTTTCATTGCCATAAAAATTAATTTTGATAAACCGATTATTTATGAAACCGTTACAATTTAATGAACATAATTTTATCAAAACCCTTGATAAAGAGCCACATCACTGACCATCTACATTACAATATAATCACTAAAAGGTTTTAGAAGTAAGCTGTAAGTACTACAATATCTTAATATCCTTTCATATTATATGCAATATCTAAAAATTATTACTTTTTGACACATAATTATCTACTGTAGAACCTGGACCAACCTTACGAGACAATCAGCAATATTCCTACAAGTATTAATTATTATATTTATAGATATAAATCATCAAACAAATAATGAAAGTCTGTTAAACATTAAAAACCACACCAATGTTCTATAAAATTGTTTCTTAAAAATTATTGAAACTCTCACAACGAAATATCATCATAATCATCCCAAACTCGACAATCCATTACTGGATCTTAGCTTCCTCAAGTGTTGCCCTCCACGTTTCCCTGTTCTGAGCAGCCAAGTTCCTGATTCCAAAGATAGATAAACAGTAATATAAGATGATTTATTTAATGCTGATCAAGAGACTTTTTTATTAAGTTGTGCCAATATCAAAGCAAAGTAGGGTATCAATGGAAAATGGAGGAGATAACTAGTTTTATAGTTCATAATATGCAGAGCCAGAACTAGTGAGGAGCAAAGAAAGAACTTATCCCTGGTGGCAAAATTTGACTGATTTTTTTTATTCCTAGCAAATGTAAAAAATATTTTTTATGCTTTTTGATTATTTTGACCTTAATTCATTCAATAAAATGAAATTATATTCTGAGACAATTTTATTTATTTCAAAATATTTTACATAAAATACTGTTATAAAATGCTGCTATTAATGAGTGGAAGGAAGAAGAGTGGAAGTAAATGAAGAGATAGCAAAATTAAGCTTACCCCACCTGGCCAAAATCCTAGTACAGAGCATAGTAATACATCCCAATATGCCCTGAATAAACATTATTTGTCATTTTATATCATAATGTTTATAGTCTATGTTTATAATAATATTTTTATAGTCAACATTATATATATATATATATATATATATATATATATATATATATATATATATATATATATATATATATATATATATATATATATATACATGCATATATAAAAAAAATATACAAAACTTTATTTATGAAGAAATGAGAAAAATAAATGACGTTTAAAAGAATTTCGATAAGATGCTTTACAAATGGAGATAGCTGAAGAATTCTTAAATTAAGTTACATGAATGAAAGAAGCAGTTTAGTAAGAGGAGATTTTAGAAATCAGATAATATTGTATTACATAATTAGTTGAAGACAGACTAAAAACTGCAAGAAGATTTCGTGATTATTATATCCTATAATGTATAATAAATGATTCATTGTAAATTCAATAAATATGTTTAAGCAATATAAGAAAAGTTCTCCAAGAAAAGTAAAGTATCTGTTACTAAATTTTATGAGTATAAAAATTAATAACTAAAGGTAATTTTCAAGTTCTTTTGGAAATATGTTGATTTAAAAAAAAAAATTATTGTTGAAAAAAGTAGAAAATTTTGTTTTAGCTAATGAAAAAATTTAATTCAGGAAAATAAATCAATTGAATAAGATTATTTTAAAAATTACCAATATGTTCTTGGTACATTTCAATACCATGAATTTAATACCAGTCTCATGAAAAATTCAATAAAGCTCCGACATTGGCAAGAACTCCAGCAATTCAAACCAGGCAATAGAAAAAAGTCTAATTTGAGCGGAAACGTATTTTTAGTTTAATGAGTCTTCGACAAGACTATTTAGTTACATTCTTTCTTCATTATTAATTACTATATTTAAAATAAATTAATTCTAAAAATAAATCATTATTTGATTATTTTAAGTAAGTGATAATGTCTGTGGTAATGCTTGATTCGTGTACTTTTGGTGTAGTTCAACATATCAAGTACCCAATGGCTGTCAATCAGCTGACCAGTGTTAACCCTCCTTTTAAATACGGTTATTCTTAGTGATCAGCGTAATAGTTTAGTGTTTTCAATGATTTTACACATTTTCCATTATTAAAAATATATTAGTATCCCATCGCTTCCAAAGTTTATAACTGATGAATAACTAAAACTCGCATTTTATTATTTTTCAATGACAGAAGAGCAAACTCCTTTGAAACTAGATTTTAAATCTGATGAATTGGCTGGTGCTCCCTCAATTTCTTTGTCTTCATCAATTGTTTCCGATCAGGAAAATACTTTATTACCAGAAGTTTCTTTTGCTCCAGAGGCAATCAATGGAATCATCATTGACTCACCAAGAAATAACAGCGAAAGCCAACCACTATTGGGAAGGATGGAGTCCCATCCACAATATAATCATTTCCCAGGTAAATAAATCCTTCTCCTATGTAAATCGAAGTAATTATAAAACATAGATCTTTTTACTAATTTTGTTCAAAATATTTTAGTTTGCTTTTCATTCCTTGGGGATCCTAAAAGCTTTTAAAATAATTTAATTTAACTTTGGCTCCTTTTTACACTTTTTTTATTATTACTCTGTATGCCTGTAACCATTGTAAAACCACCATATTTTTCAATTGAAGATGATCCTGCATTTTCTGACCTTGTTCGCACTGCAGAGCTAGCAATAGATAATGGGATCTACCCAGAAAGGATATATCAAGGATCAAGTGGAAGTTACTTTGTTAAAAACATTTCTGAGGTATTAGCACACTTATTAGCTTCTGTAGTAGTTGCCAGTATTAACAGGTTTATAATCATACACAATTTTATTTTAAGGAGATAATTGGAGTATTTAAGCCAAAAGATGAAGAGCCTTATGGAAGACTGAATCCAAAATGGACAAAGTGGATGCATAAGCTTTGTTGTCCATGTTGCTTTGGCCGAGAATGTCTAGTCCCTAATCAAGGATATTTGTCTGAAGCTGGGGCAAGCCTTGTTGACCAAAAACTTGGGCTTGGTGTTGTTCCTAAAACAAAGGTCTGGATTTTTTGTTTACATTAATTGATGTAAACACCTGTTACATAACACTAGGCATCTAGTTATGTAATACTGTATTTATTACCTTTCTATAAAATATATTTATTAGTTTTGTAAACATTTAATCAAATCAAAATAGAGTTTTAGTTTATTCCTTTAGCTTGTTTCCCTTCATGACTAATTGGTATGACCTGAGTCATGCTTTCCCTAGAGTTAGGTTTTGACAGGGTTCATTCAGCTCTGAAATTGTGTAATTTTTATGCAAACATATTATTTAAAAATGCAGTGCTGTTTTTAATTTACTTTTAATGCATGTATTATTTATCTGTTTGGTCTTTTTTTTAATATTTGCCCTTGATTATTTATTATTAATGTTTCTATATGTATATTACCCAGAGCTAATTTTATTTGCTTATTTGAATATTTGTTGTAATATCAATTCCGTACATATTAGATTATTGTTATCTTACTAAGTGGCTTATCATTTTTTTTTTATCTTTCATAATGTGGCATATTTATTGCATTGACTTTACATTCTTTCCACCTAATTGAAATAGCAAAAAAAAAAATCTCTCACATGAGTTTAAAAAATCATTATGATCAATAATGTTTCCAATAGTGACTGAAGAAATATAGAACATAAATGTAACTTATAGATAAATTTCATAGTTTTTAATTAGTAGCTTTGGATCTACTTACAAGAAAAATACCAAGAATTGCAACTGCAACAACTAATGATGTGCAGATGTTTATTTATAAGATAGTCATGAATGTTTATTCAGGCAGTCATAAATTTAATTGTTAATAAACATAGAAAAAAAATATGAGAATGTTCCCTAATATCTAAGTTAATTTTTTTTTAAGTCTGATTAAAATATATATTTAGAATCTGAGGTATTTTAAAATCTTTTTTACTAAAGAAATTTATAAGCCATTAAATCCAAAAATATTTTTCAAATATCTATATCTTTTTTGTTTAATTTATTATCAATCACTTATAATGTTTATAATTGAAATATATCTCATAACTTTGTATTGTTTTAAAGGTTGTTAAGCTAGTGAGTGAGACTTTTAATTACCCTCGTATTGATCGCGGAAAATCCCACATCAAGCAAACAATAAATGATCATTTTCCACGCCTTGGAAAACATTTCAATAGACTAGGTCTAGAACCAAAGGTATAAGAATACTCTACAATTTTTTATTACCTGAAAATTTATCTAAAACATAATTTTCACTTCTTTTTTTTCCATACATTAAGGTTGGCTCATTTCAAATGTTTGTAAGTGGCTTTAAGGATGCTGAATACTGGTTAAGACATTTTGAAGTTGAACCACTTACTGGTAGTGCTGCCAAAAAGTTTCAGTCCCAATTTGAACGATTAGTGGTTCTGGATTATATCATTAGGAATACCGATAGAGGTAATGATAACTGGCTTATTCGATACAATCCACCAGTTGTTAGATCTCAGCCACGACCATCCATCCATCAGGCACAGGAGCTAGAGGAAGCTACAGTAATGTATTATTTATTTACGCTGATTCTCTTAAAATTTCTTAAGCATTTAATTAGAAAATAAATTAGAAGTTCAGAAAATGTCGCATTGGAATTTATAAATCTACCGTTACTGTTCTCTTCAGTTTTAATTCATTGTTGCTGTATTTGTAAATTTTAACAACAAATCTTATTTATGATTCATTACCTTATTTTTTTAATTACATGTGTGGTCTATATTTTGGTATACAATTTTGATTAAATCATATTTTCCAATTCACCTACAATTTTTTAAATGAAATAGCCCCAGAACTAGGGCCTCTCAATTTCTCATAGGGCTTCTCAATAGACTAACTGGATAAATCATATATGGGTATTTGATCATAAAGATTTTCTGTTATGCTTCATCTATTGATTTTTTTTTTTTTATTTGAAATATATTAAAATTTTAATATAGAATTTTTTTTCTGTGTTTTCAATTTTTTTTTTTAATATAACAACATCCAAATCTTGAGACTCTTTCAGATTTTGGTGGATTGCCTATTTATGGCACATTGTTTTGATGTAAATTAATATTTCTCTATAGTTAAAATACAAATCATTTGTACAAAATAATAATAATACATATATTTAATTTATAAAAATCTTGTATTTAAAACAGAAAATGCTTCATGAATAAAACATTTAAAATCTATTAAATATAAAATCTCAAAATCTAAAGGAATATATTTTTCATTGAATGATAGTGAAGAGTAAACCTTCCATAAATTATTTTATTGTTCCAATTATCACAATATACATTAATCTATGTTTCGAGGTCCTTACCTCATTAATATGTATATAGATAGCATGGCACAAGTATATATCAGATAATACATTCTGTTTATGAATTAATTAAATCAATCATTTTAATTATTTACCTTAACAATTCTATTAAATTAAGCATTTATATATAGAGCTTTTACTCCTTTGTCACTTTTATCAATATCATTACTAAAATTTATAATATTAATCAATATAACATTTGAAAATGAAGTGTTTCAGTATTGACTGTAAATGAGCAAGGCACATATTCTTAATCCTTGATTTACAATGACTTTAATACAAGTAAAGTATTCAAATAAGTTTTATTAGTAAATATTTTAAAAAATTTATTGAATATGGCCAAGTAATGATATAGATAGAAGTGACTATGAGATTTTAGCTTCTCCTTTTTCTTTCATCTTGCGCTATTTCTAGCAAGGATGGCCTCACTATCTTTTCAGTGCTGCTTCATTTATTGGGATGTTTTTCCTCCAACCTTCTAGCTACAAAATCCTTGGTCTCTACTGGGTCTAGATGCTTGCTAATTCAGGAAACATGGCCAACCCACATAAGATGTCCCAAATCCTTTCATTTCTTACTGCTTATTTTTTTTTTCCTAGTATCTTGTATAAGTGCGTCATTTATTTTGTTGTTCCAATAATTGGGTTACCTTTCTGCTATTGAGCATAACTCAGCTCTTGCTTCCATAAGAGTGAGAAAGTATAGAGAAGTGACCTGTTGATCTGTAGCTTGCTCTTCTCACAAAGTAATGAATGATATGGATAGAAGTGACAAAGGGGATTAATAAATATTTAAATAAATTTATAACTTAAAATAAATGTCAAGCGAAATAATTAAAATGAATAATTTATTTATATATAATGCATGTTCTAATACCAGGGATACATAATGTATTAGAACATGCCTGAAACTATAGCTAAATCATATTGCGATATAAGAATAATAAATAATTAGTGGAAAATATACTCTTAACTATAATTACATGAAAAAAACAAAACATTTACATTAAGTTTGTCTTGGATCAGATTTACCTGATGCTGAATTTTAGAATTTTTTTTTTTAAAATTAATTTCCATGATTTGAAATATTTGCAGGAATGGGATGGAGAGAAAGCAGATATAAGGATAGCTGCTATTGATAATGGTCTCGCATTCCCTTTCAAACACCCTGATTCTTGGCGTGCTTACCCTTACCACTGGGCTTGGCTTCCACAAGCCAAGATTCCCTTTTCTCAAGAGATTAAGGACCTAGTCCTGCCTTTATTAAGGGATAATACTTTTGTGCAAGATCTCTGTTACGACTTATACCATCTTTTTAAGGTCAGTATTCAAAATTGTATAAGTTTTTTTTTTTCACTATATCTATAGCAGTGATCTCTAGCATTTAATCCACAGTTATATTTGCATGCCCCTTCTAATTTTTCTTATCTTTATCTTGTATTGTATTATCTTGATCATAGGTCTGCCTTTCTTCAGTTTTAAATATTTAATAAGTGATAGTCCTAAAATTTGTTATCTAAGACACTTGAAATACAATTAATTTTTAATTGATTTTAGGCTCAAAAAATTATGTTAAATTAAATGTGGAAAATGATACATATGTTTATGCATATATTCATTTTAAAATATTCTCTGCATATAAATTGAATCATATCAAATTCAAAATTTAAAAAATAATGTTAACAATCAAAAAATAATCATAAGACCAGAAAACTTAGGTTTTTTTTTTTTTTTTCTTGTCCACCCCTACCTCACCTTTTGTGCTATACAGGAGTTTTTTCAGGCCATGGGAGATGTTAGGAGATTAATGCAAGAATTAAAAGCCTCTCCCTCCACTGTCACCAGGAAGGGAACTCAAAATAATTTTTGATCTGGTAAACTTCAGTTTTTCAATCATCTGGTTGCTGGGCAACAGATGTTTTGTACATGGCTTAGCCTGCTCGGCCACTCTTTCCCAGAAAACTTAAATCTATGAACAATTAGGATACCTGACTTTACTATTATTTTCTATTTCCTTCCCTCCCCTTAACTTAATATTTGAGTTCTTTCTTGGTCTACCATCTTTTTTGTGTAAGCTAGATTTTTTAAATTTTCATAAATATTGATCTTATATTTTATATATAGACAAATTCTGGTTACAGCGGTTGATTTAAAATAGTCTCATTCTATTTAATATTATTTGACTTTAAAAGTTTAATTTATTTTATTTTGTTTCCTTCATTATAGGAGGATAAAGGTTTCGATTGTCATTTATTTGAGCGTCAGATGTCAGTTATGAGGGGGCAAATAGAAAACTTGAAAGCTGCACTTTTGGAAAACAAAAGTCCTGTTCAATTAGTACAGATACCTGCCATTACTGTTGAAAGGTATGTATAATTTATCATACAAGTATGGTAAAAAAAAAAATCAAACATTTCGTAATTTTTTTTAATGAAAAAATATAAATTTTGATAATATATTATTTATCCTTAATATTGTAGAATTTTAATTTATCTTGCTTTTTTGTAATTTTAGGTGCTATGGTTTATATTTGTATCTATTGCCAAGTGTTCGTTCAATAATTCAAATTTCAAGTGAATGAAAAATTGTTTCAATTTATTATTTATGTCTTGTTTAAAATATTAACAGTAGAGTTAAGCAAGATATTTTTGATTATAATTATTAATTTTTATTCAAGATACAGGGCTTGAATACATAATGCATTGTTGATAAGGGATACTAAGTTAAAAGTAAATAAATTTTTGTTCATTTAAATGTAATCTTTTGCTAAATTCTAAAATCAATTAACATTACATTAACTTATATGCCATAAAAAAAAAATTTAAAAAACTTATGATTTGATAACTTACTCAAAATGACTGGGATTGGCTGTAGAAACATCTTTGACTTAAATAGATTAGAAGAGAAAATTGAGTAATAACAGTGAATAGTAAGATCTCTAAGCTTAAGGAGATAATTTTTGCCCACTGAAATAATGTTAATTTTTTCTTAAGGGAACGTGAATTTTTTTTAGTTATAGAGAATTGAAAGTGTTCTGGTTATGATTAAGATTAATCATATATTTCTTCTTACTAATTATTTTTTGCAATATATATCAAAGATACCTGATTTATCGTTCTACTGCTTTATGATACACTTAATTATTACTATAATCTATCTACTAGTTGTTTCTGCTTGCAAATCAAGTTAAATTAATTATTTAATCAGTTCTGTTCAGGTTTTTGTTCCTATTCTAACTGTTGCATGGTCTCCACCTTATTATGCTTTTTTTTTTATCACACTATGGTCACTCCTAATCATGCTTTTTACTTCTCTTGAGAGGCTAAAGTTAAGTTTTTTTTCCCAATTCCTTGACTTAGACTTACAGGAACTAAAATTTAAGAACAATGTTTAGACTTTATTACTATATTTCTAACGAAGATTCATTCATTCATTTAATTTTTAAAAATAAACATGCATATTTTTAGAATGAAAATATATTGTCTGTTACCAGTCAACTTTTTTTATGTATCTTATTTATGCTAACCCAAAAGCCAACGGGGTTTAGTGTATTAAACGTAGAAGTGTTGTTAAAAGCTACTACAAGATTCTGATCCAGAGCAGTATTTAATTATTTATTTGGCTTATGAATGCTTATTGATTGTGCTTTTATAAAATTATGAGAAAAATATTTCGGTTTTATTAATACTAACAATTGATGATATCCAAACCAACTGATGATAGCCTGATGGCCAAAACGATTTGAAAAAAAAAAATTTCTTTGAAGCAATAATGTTTTTAGTCACAGAAATCCCTAGTAAATTGCTTTTCTTCACTATAAGCACAAACTATTTGTAAATACAATTAATTACAAACCTGGTGTTTTGGTTTTCATGAAAGAATATTTTTTCTTATATCTTAATTTATATAGATATTTTAATTAATTATTTTTTGTTTCCTTTAGAGAGAAAGGCCATGTTGGTACAACGTCACGCTTCCGTTCATTTAGCCAAACATTTACCCAGACTGTGCAGAAAAAAAGTCCATTTTTTTCATGGTGCTGATGTTCCCCCATCATCAGGATCATCATATTGATCCCTCACGGTTCTCTTATTCCTCTTGTATTTATTTTGTATGTAAACAGATATTAATGAACCAGGGTCCTTGTTAGATAATAGCTTTTATGATATGTTACTGTACAGGCAAGTATTAAATAGCTATTGTTTTTAAATTATATTCTTGTATATAATTAATTCAATCTTGCATTCCAGAAGAATAATTTGAGCTAGAATTATTTTTATCTACTACTTTTAAAATATTTTTATAAATTTTAATTTAAATGTAGTATTTTCTTGTTTAGATGATTACTTTGGTAATAGATTTCCTAATAAATTTAGCTTTGTCAACAGGACAACATATCAAAATCTATGTATATCTTCTAGATTTTATACATATTTATTATATTTGCCAGTTACGCTGTAGAAAAAAACATAACATTGTCATATGCCACTTGTTAAAATATGTTAAAATATTTTCCTTTTTAATCATGCTATTTTAAATTTTAATTGTAATTTTTTTTTTGCTTTTGAAACTAGTCACTGCTGTTATTTTAATGTATGTATAGTCAGTATAATTAAAAGTGATTAATTGTATTATTTTAAATTGTTTATGCCTAATGGGGATGTTGTTAGCTATCATATCCATTTATTTTTATAATTGTTCTAATTATTTTATTTTAGAACTATATATATTTATCACCCATGGAGTTCAAAAAATGTTTAAAGTAATTACCATGAAAAATATTCTTAATGTTTAATATTTAAATTTACATTGTAAACTATGTATTTATCTCAATTGTAAAATATATATGTATAAATATACCATAGCATTGTGAGAAAAGTTATATGTATATAATTTAATGTTATATACATATTTATTTCTGTATATTGTATATTGCATATTAGTTATTTTTCTATAAATAAATATAATGAATGGATGCTTAAGTGCACAAAAATTAATGGCTATTCTTTTTATTCTACTTTTACAATTCTCACTTAGCACCTAAGACTGGACCAGTCTTAGGTGTACTATCTTTATACCTTTATACCTGCGAGAACTCTTTATGTTTGATTTTTAACATTATTCTATAGTGTATTATGTTGCACATAAAAAAATTATATTGAATACTTGATGGTTGGCTGGTGTATGTTATTGAGTAAGGAGATAGTCCGAGGTGGCAGTCATACATAAAAAGACTGAAACAGTGAAAAACTATTTTTATTTCAAGCCAACATTTCGACCCAACTTTGCAGGTCTTCTTCAAGGCTGAAACGAACATGTGTATTTTAATAAGTTTATTCACACTGTATATAATTTTTATCTAAATATCAGGTAACTTTCACATTTTTATATCCTTTTGTATCTGTATCTTGTTATTTTTAACCTTGAAGAAGACCTGCAAAGTTGGATCAAAACAATGGCTTGAAATAAAAGTAGTTTTTCACTATTTTAGTCGTTTTTTGAACGCAACCCCAGACAATCTCCTTACTGAATAATAAAGTTATGTTGTATTATAATACTTATTGATGAAATGAAAATATATCTTATTATTCTGGGACTGTTGTCCCTTTAGAATAAATTATCGGTACAGAATACATGTATGTGTGGTCATAAATAAATTAAATTAAAAGTAAAAATACAGGAGAAGACAGAGGAAAAGAAAACCGTGCATATACATAAGACAAACAAAGGAAGCTAAAACAACAGAAATAGTCTCAAGGGTACTTAGATAGTTCTCTTAAGTATATTTCGTAATTAATCAGATTGAGAAAGGAGGAGGTATTTAAAGAGGAGAGGTTTGAAAAAGGAAACTGATTGTGCATGTCGAACATCAACAGGGAATTCCAGAGGGCGGGTGTATGGAGTATAATACTTGTGCAATTTCATTAATAATCATTCATTAAATATATTATATTTTTCAAAATTAATAAATTCATAGTTAGTGCACTCAAAGTCGTATATATTATCATTTAACATTTAATTACACTTTGATCAGAAATGTTTTTATTTTTTATTTCATTTTGAATATACAATGTGTTTCATAAATCCATTATTTAATACAAAAGACTGTGGAGCTATAATTTATTAGTTGATTGAAAATCAGGAAGAATTATAGAAGTTAAACTTCCTTGTGTTATGCAATTCATTTTCAATACCTCATTACTGTCATATGAAACTTCTCCCTCTATATATTATTTTACTAGTTAATTACTAATGCCATAATTAAAAGCAAAAGCAATTTGTATAGAAATCGACGAATCCTGGTTTAATATTTAATTGAGTGTGAGTCTATATATCTTGCAGGCCTCTCTCTATATATGTATATATATAGAAATTTTTCATTCACTCTAACTTCCACCTACGAAACCTTTTCTAAATCCAATAGTATTACTGTAATGTGATATTTAATTGGATGAGGAAAAGGCATCTGTGTTCTGTCTATAAAAACAGTGACTAAGAAATCATTATTTTTCAACAAATAACATGTTCAAGCTGCTTTAAATTGACAGAAAATTGGGAATTCAATATGAATTTTTTTCATCAGGAAAAAATCGGGAACTTTGGTTACTTGTCTAGTAATTTCATTTTGTTAACATTAAAAATAAGGATTGATGTCGTAACACAAGCAACCAAACAATTATTTTGTATTAACTTAATACTTGTAATTGAATAGTATAATACTTACTGAGTAAAAAGATCATGTTACTAGAAATTTTTTTTTACTTTTTAATATCTCTAACTCAAGCGATTTTGTCCCTGTTTTACTTTCAAAAATTTAAATCTACCACATTTAAGGAAAATAAATGATAGACAAATAACAAAATTGGTCACATATCTAAAAACAAAAATAATTTTTTTTTTTTTTTTTTATTTCTTTATGACATTTACAACTGTATTACATAAATACATCAAGTAAATTTGGACATAATTGATATAATGACATGAATACACTTGCTGAGTAACTACCCAATGGTAGCACTCTAATGATATGACTACATTAGGAGATCACGGGGCCATCTTCTTTTCAGATGCCTTGGAGGGTTATCAGGAATTGAAGAGGAAGCAAGGTTAGAAACGAGAGGGTTGGGATGATTCTGAAGTTTATTATGGAAGGATAAGTATCTGGATTGGGCTTATTGTAAGATTTTAGTACATAAGGAACATTAAGATCTTTGTGGATAATTTTATTAGTGACAAAGTAAGGAGCATTGAGGATTTTACGAAGGATTTTGGATTGTAAGGATTGGATGCTAGAGGAATTCGATGGTTTAGACAAAAATAAATAAATTAACAAAATGATAAGGGAGCCAGTTAATATCTATAGTCAAGTGGGTGCGATATAAATATGAAAGTGAAATTTACCTATAGATGGCCCTAGTTGTTAATGTAGTTAATATTAAATCACATGATTGGTTCCATTTTGTTTCTTTGACAACTGGCAAGCGACTCACAATACAAGTTTCATAAAACAGCATGGTTTGAAATGTTGAACATGTCATGTTTTATGCCAACAAAATAAAATTTATGTACAGCGTGTTTTCTATTACCATTTAAAGAACATTGCCACAGAATCCCACCAAATGCTTGATGAAAAGTACTGTAAGCACGCCCTTGGTAAATTACAGTGCTTTGAGTATTTTAAAAAAATTTAGAAGTGAATTTGACATCGGAAATGAAGAACATGGAAGACCAGCAAAAAATGGTTTGATCTATTATGAGCTGCAAAAACGTCATAACTGAACACTATCAACAGCAAATGCTTGATATGAATAGAGCATTGTGTGAAAAATGAAAGAAATATAAAAAACAGAAAACATAAAGTTACTTTGTTTGATGATAATGTACAATCAGACACAGCAAAACAAGTGTTTTCATCTTTGGATGTATGCCATAAATGGTCAGATTGGGGAAAAATAAAAAATAATTATACATACAGAATAAATTTTATTTAATCGCAATTTTAGTCGAAGAATATTGAACAAGACTTAATCTAAAAATATAATTACAATGTGTCGAATACATTCAAACTTTTTTTTTGTTTTGAGCTTTAAAAATGTTTGATGTCGTAAACCAAAACACTTTTAGGTACAAGTAAGATAGCAATAGAGGAGGCTTTCCATTAACTTAAATGAACACCCAGAACATAGTTATATAATATGTAAAACAAAAATGAACATTTTAAAAGACTAAAACAAAAATATGAAATATATGACATAAGTATTACAAACAGTGACAAAGTAAAATCACTATAAAAACTACTACAGTTAATTAATTATTATAACTATTTTAGGGAAGCTTTTTGTGTTCACTGTGAAATAGTACAAAGCAGTTACGGATATTGGTCTGCTAAGGCTCTGAGAAGAAATAAGATTCCATGTTGTTTCTTCAAAGCCATTTCACTTAGTTTCATATCATATTACTCTTATTCAGCATATTCATTTATTATTGCCATAAATACAATTCAAAGTAACAGCAATAAACATATACATATATAGGGTAAACAAGATCAATATTGAAACCCTTAAGCAAATATTTCTCTTTAATCTACCTCACTGGAGTCTTTTCTATCACAATATTTACATGATAATTAGTAAAAATTGTTCAATTTGATTAAAATTCATCATAATTTTTCTTAAAGCAATCTACTTTAAGATAAATAAAAACATTCATACTAGAAATACATGGAAGATACTTCACAGCACAGCATGAAGAAAAAAACAGTGGAAAATCGGTTATTGACCCCAACTTAAAAACTTTTAATATTAAATTTAACACAGCTGATTTCTATGGTTCACAAATAATTTTTCTTGTCTTAATTCCATAAAAGTAAATCTATGGTTTCATCATTATTTTGTGTTGACATCCCTAGCCGTAAAGCTGACTAACTGGGGGGGGCATCAACCAGAAGAAAATAGTCAAGCATTTAACAAAGTTCATATAAAATGGAATTAAGGACAATAATTATCTGTTGAAAACAATTCTTGAATGCTTCTCAGTGATATAC